TGTTTACAATAATTTTGATGCTAATATGCAATGAACTAAGTCAAAGAAAATAATAATGGTTAACACATAAATCTTCTTGGACCTAATAAAGAAATTCATATACTTATAATCTACATTTACGGAAATAACATTATTGGGACAATTGTCTGGAAAATACAGAATCATAAAAATTTTCAGGAATAATGAAGAAAAGCAATTAATTGCTACAGGTATAGAAAATAAATTGTTTCATACTATTATATATTATAAAGTACAAAGACAGTTAATAAAATGAGAATATTTAATTCTGTTAGATCACTCTACATCATCGGTGGGGTCAAGTCGACCCCGAACAACTATATCCTGTAGATTTTTATTTTTCAAATAAGCTATGACAATTTTTTTTGTAAAAAATAGTTTGAAATTAGAGAAACTTAATGGACTTATTTTGGAGGCATTAATTAATGAGTGATTGATAGATTGTGAGATGATTATCTAGTAATTAATTGATTTAATTAGTTAAGTTGATTGATCCTAATTAGGTGCTAACATATTCATCTTTTCAAAAATATCAAACACATTACTGATATGGATCTTTGACTGTTTTAATAAATTGTAAATATGTGTATTTTGATATGGATTCTAAAGTCAAATGTATTTTTTGCATTATTAGCTGTTTGGTTTAATTTAGGCTTTCAGGTCTACCTCATTGATTGACCTTTGGATCTGCAAGCATGCTTACTGTTTGATAGGTACTGGTACCGATACATGTTATTTTTTTCCATGAGATAATTAGATTTAAGCAGTTAGCAAAATTTAGTTTTGCTGTGTGATGAAAGATATTTTTAGGTCTGAGTTAAAATTTCCTGCTTTGTCAGTGATTTCAGATTGTATTGGAATATTAATTTGATTAATGTATAATAATAAGGTTGAATAAACAGTTAGTATGGAATCATATTTTCATATATTGTCAATGCACACCTTAACTCAAGTTAAAGCTGATTTGAAAGGTGCAAGTCCATTACTTGAATATTATTTTGTTACAAATTGTGCTATTGTCATGTGTAACATTTATATCAAAAACTAATATTACATTTGGTCATTAATTTAGATTTCCTTTGTCCTTTGTAAACCAGCTATTCTACATTAAGACTGGAATTTATTGTACAAGGTAAAGATTAAATCAGACCAATCTATATTCTAAGTAAGAACTAAGGAAGTGGCTGATATTTTTCCTGAGGACCTGATATTATTAGCTATGAAGGAAGTAACATGAGCTGTTTTTCCTTCTTCAATTTACAAACCACTTGAATATTGCTAGATTTATCTCAAGTGCCGTATTGAAGTCTTGATCACATGAGCTAGTTTTATTGGCCAGTATATACTGCTCTGTAGAGAAACACTCTGGTTCTGTATCAAGCTAAAATATATCCTGAGATTCAGTCTTTTTTCTGGTGTTTATAAGGCTTTAGAACATATTCTACAACATTACTATATAGTCAATACCAGATATCAGACTTTATTACAATGGGGAAATCAGATACAAATTTAATTAACCAGACCCGCTTGTTTTAGATGATAGCTAGAACTGATCTTTCATTATTTTCAAAGCATATTTTTAGTATAGTTGTACAGTATTACAGAAACCAGGCATAAAAAAGGTAATGTCATGTATTGGGTTTGGCATGTCCTAACAATATAAGGTTTGTCTACCTGACATTTACATAAGCTTATAGATATTGAGGCATGTCAAGAAGATGCTTCCAGTTTTAGCAAAATATGTCTCATACAAGGGCCTGTACTTGTAAAAAATCCATGTTAGACAAGTCGGATATTTAGTTGAACAAGGCGGCTAACATTTAAAGATTATTAAGTAGACTTGGCTAGAAATGCATTCAAATCAACTGCTCTGATGAGTGCTGATAAGTAATGTTTGTTCAATATCAAAGTTTTACACCTGAAAGAAAACATATAGCAATGATTGAACCTGTAGTACTATGATATTATGTAGGTCATTATATACTGAACTTTTATCAAGTATCTTACCTCATCTTGGTAATGGAAACCAGGTGTTAAACATCAGTTTTTATCTTTATTACCTGGTTCATATCAAACATAAACTCACATCAGCATATTCAGGTTTCAAATAAATATTCTAGTGCTAGGACTAATTTCCCAGTAAAAATTAAATAAGGGTGATTGCAGACCTTGGTTTTGTGGATAATCTGTGATAGATCAATATCAAGAGGTTTGATCAAGGACCAGCTGATAGAAAGGATCCTTTGTAACCGTAGTTGTTTTCTTGTAAAATGATATTTTTGTGTAACATAAGACAATTCAGAAGCATCAAGACTGATTTATGGGATGATAGGAAAAAATAAATCCCTCCAAATAGTCTTTGCGAAATTCAAAAGTAGAAAAATATGATATAACACTCATAATATCTAACAGTGTCTCTTTTAAGCTAAAATGGAGCTGGAATGCCCTAGAGCCAAGGTTCCCAATCTTTTCCAAATAGCGACCCCAAGAAAGCTTGAAAACTACAAGCCCAGAGAGCTTCTGACGATTCTGAAGTATCAAGATCTTCATCAGAATCAAATCTTTTTGGTTTTTGAGATTGTGAACCACCATAATTCAACTGATTGTAGATTTTGATAAGCCATTTCTCAATTTATCTAGGTGTTGGGTTACATTGAAATGATGACTGTAACACAAGATAAAAAAAAGAAATTAGAGGTAGTCTGCTAGGTTATTTTAACTGTCAACACTATTTTGTAAAAATGTAATAATGCGGATTCTGAACAGAAATGGCAGACAGTTTGTGTTTTATCTGTTCACTCTTTCACTCTTGATCTTTTATCCTTCTGTTCTGGGCATTCTGAAGACTTCAACAGTCATGAATTTGTCTGGAATAGAATTTAGAATAAAGACTGACTGCAAACCAATATAAATTAATAAATAAAGCTATGCCTTCCAAAAATTCTGTTAACAGTTTTATAAATATTAATATAAATCTCTGTGGAACTGGAATACCACAATGTATGTCCTATACAGTATAGTTTTATTACTAGTAGTTATAATTTTCAAACTTTTTAGTAACAGATTTAATGCTACAATAAATTTCTCAATTTCTAAACAAATTTAGTTTTGTTATGAAGATATGATGATGTGGTTTGGTATGACAGTGTGTATTACACCAGATAACATAACACAATTATAATCCTTGGTAAGATCTGTAATAATATTTTGTATGATAGAAATGCACTTAGTTGCATTTGTTTTGGTTTATTAAGTAATAAGATATTGAGATAAAACATTGTTTTGTATATTTATATATATTTATTAGTTTTTAAAAAGGTTTGTAAAAAGGACATTAAGCTTATAAGAACCTTATACTACAAAAAAAAGGACAAAAATTGTCTAGATGTTTTGCCATCGGCCATTTCTCATTGTGCCAAAATTTTTACTTCAGAAAACCGTTCAAGTTTAAGAAATTATTGCACAAAAGTTTGTCTTACTTTAGGATCAAGTTTTCGCAGCAAAAGGTTGTATTTTGTAGATGTATTTCTAAAATGCATATTAGATGACTTCATTTCTGACATTGATATTATTTGTGTGTCTATTCTTTTCAAAAAATTTATTGTGGGTGTTTTAAAAGTTAAAAAAGTTAAACAGATTTTTAATGAAGGAAAGAAAAGAGAAAATTGAAAACATTGTGTAATTCATTCATAACTGTCAGTATTCTAGTTGATAGGAAGGTTAAGAAAATGATTTTAAGTGTGATTTTTATGACATTTTACGTTCTGCATGGCCGACAAATAAATATAAACCCATACGAGTCATATCAGGTTTTTATTGTAGGCATTTAATTTTAAAGTGGCCTACTATTTATTTCTTTTTCACAACTTAAATGACATTTGATATCATAAGATAGGCATACATGTATAGTGACATTAATTTGCATATTACATATTGGGTATCTAGGACATAAAAGTATTACCTTGGATTCATATAGGCATCATTTGCTTTTCTAACCTTCCAAAAAAAAAAATTAGATTCTGTTATGTTTTAACTTAATGGACATTCGATAAATTATGAAACATGTATCCAAACAAATTAAGTTACATTCTCCTTTTTCTATGAAGAAAACGTATTAATCTTAGACAATTCAAAATAAGGATGAAAGGATTGTAGGCAATCCCACTTTAACCTCAGTATGAATATGGACTGTTTTTAAACTGCGCTCTATAATTTCGAAATTGAATTGAAGGTGACATTGTGCCCTTTGTATATATTATTTTGCATGTATTTTGGCGGTTGATTTCACACCTTGCTACATGTAAACAACATGTTTTATAAGATTACAAAAAAAAATACATCTGAATACATATAAAATATCATTTTCACCAGAACCTATGTAAAATGACGTGTGAGATTGCATTCCATTCTTGCTGTCTTCTTGTAATTCAAATCTGATTTTAGAAATAAATAAAAAGTGTTGTTTGAGAGTGACAAATGGTTGAAGAGTAGGCCAAATTTCAATTATTGTGCTGGCCTGATAAAGGAAATATTCAAATGAAATATGATTACTGATTAGCTAATGATACACTATATTACTATTACCAATACTAGTATTTAAACAGAGTTTCAGAACCATTCAGTTTGTAGTGCTCAGGTTTAAATCCCCTACATTCTACACTGTCAGAAATGTCATCTTTGCTTCCAATTTTTGTGTGAAATTATTACAACTATTTTGCAATGATAGCATAAATGCAGTTGATATGATATAAGATTATGGTACTGCAATATTCATTTCTAAAGTTAGAATCATTAAGTATTTAATTGTGATATCAGATCATAAATCTCTGTGCTCTTGATTTGGCTAATGAATCATTCATGTTCGTTCAGATGCATCTATTTAAGATGGTTATTTGGAATTTGGACATTTTTAATACAAAAGCATTTACAGGTATCCTGTATAGATTCTGTTATAGATGTAATTGTTGAATTATTTCTATTGCAGGGGAAAGTTTGCTGTCGTTAAGAAATGTATTAACAATGAAACAAAGGAGGTTGTAGCAGCTAAGTTTATAAAGAAGAGAAGAAAAGGAAAGAGTGCAAGGGAAGAGATTTTACGAGAAGTTGTTATGTTAGAAATGGCCATGTCACATCCCCGACTGGTAGATTTATTAGAAGTATATGAAACTCCTTCAGAGCTCATATTGATAACAGAATAGTAAGTTTGTGTATTCTTTTTTCAAACTCTTACAAAAATTATTGAACATAATTCAGACAATACAATTATAAACATTATCATATAAGATATTATCTTCACAATGTCAGGCTATTATAAACTATGTTGAAACCCTTGAAATCATATTTACTTGTATAACGGTATGCAACCCATTGGATTGTATGCTAGCTAAATCAGCCAATCAGAGCCACCAACAAGTTCCAAGTATTTGATGCAGCTTAACATTGTAAAGATGATATAAAATTTCACTATAAAAAACAATATTACCTAAGGTAATGTAGTTTTAGATTCAAGAATATTATCCATTAATGTATCATGCCATATGTTTTGTGCTCTACAGACTTAGTACGGTACCTAAAAAACCTTCTGTTAGACTGTACATGTTATGTCTGGTTTACAGATAGAAATGTAGGTAATGATAAGAGAAATATGTTATTCATAGGCCAGGTGTTTTACATGGTAGATTAACTTTATTATGTAGATTTTTATACGCCCACATGAAATGGGGGGCGTATATTGCTGTCACCCATGTCCGTCCGTCCATCCGTCCGTCCACAATTGCTCGTAAACACTCAATTCTTGATGAAACTTGGTATGGTTGTTTGTAATCACCCAAGTATGAACCCTATTTAAAATCAGACGAATCAAAAAGTATTTACTATGAGTTATTGCCCTTGTTCTTGAAACGCTCGTAAACACTCTAGAAGGTGCAATTCATTACAGATTTTGATGAAACTTGGTGTGAGTGTTTGTAATCACCCAAGGATAAACCCTATCGAAAATCAGAAAAATTGAAATATATTGAGTATGAGTTATTGCCCTTGTTCTTGAAAACGCGTTCAATTTTAGCTTCTAAACACTCTAGAAGGCACAATTCTTGATGGAATTTTGACAAAACTTGGTGTGAGTGTTCGCAATCATCCAAGGATGAACCCTATTGAAAATCAGAAAAATCGAAAAATATTGAGTACGAGTTATTGCCCTTGTTCTTGAAAACTTGTTTTAATTTGTAGCTCGTAAAAACTCTAGAAGGCATGATTCTTGCCAGATATTGACAAAACTTGGTTTTATTGTTCAGTACCGCGCTGAAGATTGAATATTTGTCTTCTAGAGTTTTCACGAGCTAAAGAATTGAACACGTTTTCAAGAACAAGGGCAATAACTCATACTCAATATTATTCAGTGCCATAAATAGTTCAAAAGAAGTGTATGACTGAAGGTTGAATATTTCATACTGGTGATTGTTACTGTACTGCTAAATATTTTTATTTTCAAAATCAAAGCTGCCAGTGGGCTTATATTACCTTGCCTGGCAAGTTATCTTGATATAACACACATTTCTATCTAAATTTCATCTTGGAAGCATGTATTTACTATGTCTGTTTTCCATGAAGGTTTTAATGATCATTTGTAACATAGATACATGTGTATATGTAACTTGACTAAAGTACTGGTAGTAGTAGTAGTCATCTGGGTAGAAATTGTCTTTTTACCATTTAATATATGGCCTTGCCTGTATTCAGTTTTGAGTCTACAGTAAAGTTATTACAGAGAAATTCATCAATCAGGTTTAAAATAAGCCCTGTATATTATGATTATATACAATCTCACTTTAAAAGGTTGTCAAGGATAGTCAAAGCCACCCAGTTGACTTTTATTAGTTAAACTATGTCAAATTGTGTTTCCATTTTTATAACAGAATCCATAGGAAATGTCATAATTAATTGACCTAGATCTGACCACTGCCTTATATTCCTTTAAAGTATGTCATAGGTTAAAGGTCATGCCCAGCCTAATTTCAAATGCATATTATTGGGTTTTATTATATTGTTCCTCAGGGGATTTACTCTGTTTGAATATTTAAGATTCAGAATATAAAACCTTGACAGTATTAGTTTAAAGTTCTGGGGAGTTAAACATTCACTGTAAACCTACATTGTGACTGCTACAGACCCATTGTCTTATATAGTTGATAACAACTGACATGGTCAGTATTTATTTAATTATTCCTTTGTCCACATCAATGATTGAATTTGAGTCTTGATTTGGACAAATTTTAATGCCTGTCATAGTGACAAAGTACTGGACATTAGTTTAAATTGCTAATAGACTTCATTGGACCTTTTGGTTTTCAATCAGATATTCAAAATGGTTTCCCTTTTTGGTTAAATTGCTGGGAAGTCTGTGAGTGGACACTGTTGTTAAACTCAGTTGGTTATAGTGAAATACTACTGGATATTAAATCACTCAAGTCTATTAGTGGACAGTGTTTAAATCAGCCGGTTCTAGTGTTATAGTACTATAAGTTTATTTATTATTATGAGTCTGTCAGTGACTCAGCATGTCATAATAAGATTAGATAATGACCTGTCACTTACAGTAATTATTGACAATATTAATATTCTCACTAAATCACTGGTGATAGTCTAATGTCCCACAGATTAAAATCTTCGATAAAGGTTGAAAATTGACAACAGGCTGAATATCAGAACTACTACCTGTATAGTCTAATTGTCTAGTAGACAACAATCAAGATAGTGGTGCAATGCAGTTTAGGAAAACCCAGTTTCTTCTTTAAGCTCAACCTTTCATCAGAAATCAAAGTTTGATTTTGCAATGGTTTGACAACAGGCTTACTCCAGTGCAAAATAAATGTATGACTAAATTTGTGCAAGGGATTCCGAGCATCTAACTACTTTTCATTGTATCACTTTCCACATAAGAAATCCATTATCCAGTTGGTCTGTAATTTTCTCTTCTAAATTGCTTAGATTCCTTTAGAATAAAACTAATCAAAGGGCATAGTTTTAATTTTCAAGATTAAGTTACAATTCACTTTACATATATTGATTAAACATGTCAGACTTGAAACTCCATTCTTTGCATATTATTTTTCTAAGACTTCTAATTAGCTACCAAAGTTTTAAGAATCATCTATTTCCAATCACAATTATTCCTAAAAAAATAAGTTTTCTTTGATTAGATTAGAAGGGGCATTTCATATATTTCATTTCTTATGTATGTATAAATAATATAAAACAGGACCTGAAACATGTTGTTATGCAGACTTCCTCAGTATATATAAAAGAATATAATTAGAAATGTAGAGACATAGGAACATGATTAAGTTATTTAATTAATGTAAGAATGCAGAGTTGTTGGTTCTCACGACCTACGTAATTATTCTACATTCATTATAATGTATTTTACTATACTCAGCCTTAATCTCATATTTCATTCTCTTTTCCTATTAACCCTTTCAACTCATATGAATGTTTGTTTAATTTCTGTCAGATTACAGGTATTATAGAAAGAGACAAAAAATAAAATGAGCTGCAATATGATCAGCTCATGTAAAATTTCATCCTTCTGATAAATGTTGCAGTTGGTTAGAAATTTATAATCCTGACATCATTTGTTTGGTTACATTGAACTTGAACAAATGATGGTCATTATGGGTTCAAAACAGGGTCAGTGACTTCATAATCTTTCAACTATTATGCCAGTCATCTAAGCTGTTCATGACCAGCCAGAATCTTTGAGAATCTTAGTTGTTATTCCTGTAAAAAAAAGAAATGGTTGTTTCTCTTTTTTCATCTTTCTGAATTTCCTGGGTATTAATTTTGAGAATATTTATTTCCAAATATATGAAATAATATTAGATTTTTCTATAATTTCAGTTGTGAAGGAGGAGAGTTGTTCCATGAATGTGTTATAGAAGAATCATTTCAAGAACAAGATGTGGTGAAGTTAGTCATCCAGATTCTAGAGGGTTTGGTGTTTTTACATGAACAGAAAATAGTCCATCTTGACTTGAAGGTGAGTATTTATAAATTAGTCATTGTTGGTACAAATATATCAGACTAGAGCCAAGTGATTTGTACTTAGTAGGTAAACTGATCCCAAGTACCTCTTCCTCTGAGTCATGATGTTGATCGCCTAATATCAAATATGATCTGACTTAAAAATTGTTCAGATATTAGTGAAATTAGTCAGGTCATATCCGTCAATTATTTTATGATTTCCTTTTCCAAAAAGTTGTATGACCAAGCTTTTAAAGTTGCTTTGCATTTGAAAGATTGTTACCAAAGTCCAAAGATATGGAAAAAACCAAATTTTAAACTACTATTGTCTAAAATACAGTTACGATGATCTCTATTCAACCATAGCTAAAACTTGTTTTGTTTCTTTTCAGCCCCAGAATATTCTGTTAACGAAGCCATTTCCCCATGGTAATATAAAGATCTGTGATTTAGGTTTTGCTTGTTTAGTTCATAAAGGTGAAGACATAAGAGATATAATAGGCACAGCTGATTATGTTGGTATGTGTTTTATACTAATAATGATATACTAATGGTGTATAATAAATACTGTTATTATAACTTATTATATAACACCTGACCTTGGGTTTATGTTAATAATATATTTTGGATTAAATCAATTCTTATGATTAATATAATCTGAAGATTTGATTATAGTTGTATTAATATTATAGTTATTATAAGTTATCTTGAAATCTGCCTAAAGGTTTGAAAAATGTGTATTTTTTTTTAACACAATCTGATTAATTTGTTTAAATTTTCTATCTTTCAGCACCAGAAGTGTTAGATTATGAACCACTAGACATTCAAACTGATATGTGGTTAGTATTTAAATGTGTATTTCTTTTTGATATTTTAATTCTATACAGCCATTAAAGTGCTTCTAAGATTATATCTTGGAAGTGGGTGAGAGGGTGCCGTTTGAATTTAATCAAGCCATTGTTGATATACAACATGTCCTCAATTTTACGTAATGCTTCATAGCTTATATCCCAGTGGTGAGACAGGTCTGCATATTTCTGCTAGATACGCTTTGAATACTGCACAAGAGTCAACTTTTTCTTTTTGTTATATATTCAATAAAATGCATAACTGTTTTATTTTATTTCATTTCATTAGATAAGAAAGACATGAAACAGTAAAATGTTAGTTGAAGTACAGAGTGTGATTATATTATATTATATTAAAGTAAATTGTTTATGATATATTTACAGGAGTATGGGAGTATTAACCTATGTCATGTTAACAGCTTTCTCTCCGTTTGCTGGTGATAACCAACAAGAAACATTCTGTAATATCTCAACAGTTAAACTCGATTTTCCAGAAGAACTATTTGACGATAAATCAGAGCATTGTAAAGATTTCATCTCAAAACTTCTAGTTAAAAATTCAAGGTATTTCACGGCTTAAACATCTCAAATAGATATAGTATAATAACCTCACTCAATCCAATTCAGCCAGTTGTTTTTGACCAAGGACTATTTCCATTACTGGGAAAATAAGATACAAGAAAGTAGGACATAATGATACATTTTACTTGAAGTCTTTCTAGGCTGTTTTTCTCAGTGAGTTAGAGGCTTGCTCGCTAACCTGAGGGTCCAGGGTTCAATCCCGGCATAGGTCGAGATAATACCTTCAGATTTTTCAACCCGTTTTCCCCCTGTCAGTGATGCAGGTAAGAGGGGCTGACATGGAAAAAGCGTCTAGTCGTTCGGATGGGACAATAAACCGAGGCCCTGTGTGCTACAGGTTGTGCATGTTAAAGATCCCTCGACAGTTGGAAATCGAAAAAAGAGCAGGCTAATGCCGTTGTCCTGGCAAAATTTCCCTCATCGCACCCTGCATGGCGTTGCCCATCTTCATTAGCCCACATGGTGCAGAAAAGTAGGACATAAAACTCCATTCATTTCATTTCATTTCTAGGCTGTTTTTGCTTCAATAGACAAATCATTAGTACCCTTTTCTTCAGTTGAACCAACATTGATAAATATCTGAATGTGTATGATATTATATTATTTTGTAGGAAAAGATTAACAGCTCGTCAGTGCCTTGAACACCCATGGTTAAAATCTTACGTTATTCAATCAAATCTTCCACCTACCCTCCAAAATCTTCCACCGGTTACCAATTGCAACGCAGATATCTCCGAAGAGGATTCAATGTCAGATAACAACGAAAATATTTGTGATAATCTTTCTGATATAGATGCAGATATTATAAGTAATGTAGATAATACTAACACTGAGAACAATACAGTTGACTCTCCATCTACATCAAGTAAGAGAGAAGTTTTTGTGGAGAAGGAAAATTCCCCAGGAATATTGGACATTGGTTCAGAGTTGAAATCAGATGAGGGTTTTGATAATGAAAAACATCCGGCTCCCAAAAATTGTGATATCTATGAGAGCGCACGATATACTTCAGAAGAAACTGTTTTACATATAAATGAAAATAATAAAAATGTGGAAAAATCAGTCTCTAAAGTGACATACTCTGTAAATAAGGTGATAGTTCTCAAACCCACAGTTTCCCCTCGCCTAAAAGGCAGTATCAGTCCCCTTAAAGATTTAGTAAATGAACAATCAGAAATAACTAAGTTTTCGGAAAATTTTGAGAAAAAGACTGAATTATCCAGTCCTACCAATGAACAAAAACAGTTTATAGGTAACGCAAATGGACTTGAAATAGGAGCTGACTCATTGAACTCTGTTGAAAACATACTACACAATCCTTTTAATGGAAGTGATATTAAAATAGTGTGTAATTCACGTACACAACGTAACTCACTACCAGGTCGTATTGGATCGGAGAGTATTAAAAATAAAGACAAAGACGAATCATTTAAACGTAGATCTATGGAAATACCTGTTAAAAGACGTAAAAGTGAAAATGGAGATATAGAAACACAGCCCTCTACAGTTCAGAAAGAGTTTAATTGTGTAGATGAAGTAACTTTTATAAGCGACACGATAACACCTAATACCAATCAATAATTAAGACTGTTAATATAAATTAATGACGATCTTTTCTCAGTCCAAATTGTTTAATGCTGGTTAAAGATGCAATCAAGTTCATAGATTGATAGATTGAGAATGCTTATCAGAGGCCTTATCCATATCTCTGGTAGCTGAAGGAGCCCTCACCCCTTAGCAATCACCAGTTCTGATGGTTACAAATTAGAAAATCGGTCATAAGTGGTTGCAACTCTCGTGCAACTGAGTAGTGTTCATTACTTATGATCACTCATTATTCACAACCATACACAACTGGTAATCACTATAGTGTGAGGGCACCTTCAAGAACTTTTTTACATAAGATTTATTATCCCTCCCTGAAGCTGATGAACTGAGGAATGTTATTTCATTTGAATGATTCAATAAATTATAGCACTATATCAGTGAAATTATGAGAAAAAAATAAGATTATACAAATCGCTAAACCTTACAAAATTTAGAAATATCTTTTTGAATAGTAAAAAAAACCCATTAAAGTCTTAAGAATTGGTTATAAGGATAATTTATTTTATTGAAATAGTTCATATCTTACAAATTTCTGTGTGGAAGATTGAAAGGTTTGAAAGTAAAGGAGAGTTTATTTACTGGTTGCTGTTTGTCTTACAGATCGACCAAGTGTAAATTTAAATACAAACTCAGAACTCTGCAGACTTGAATTGAGAGTAGATTTTGAAACATCAATGGCCAAACTAATATCAAGAATGACTAACAGTATGTTGTTTCATAAAGCATTGTATATATAAACATCGAACACTATATGATGTGTTTGATATACAACTCTTTCTGTTTGAAACTGAGCAAAACCATATGAAAAAGGTATTGTAAAGATGTTTTCAAGCCTATTGATGTGAATCAGGACATTTTTTAACATCAAGTATCTTTAGATAATGACTGCTAGAACACTCCCAGGATCAGAAATTATTTTAATTCTTGTGGGAATCTAAGTTTTGTTCATTGTAAGTAAAACATGATGTGGTATTTCAAACACATTATATATTATAATTTATGCATTAATTTAAAGTACCTCAAAATACACCCAGGTTTAATATGCATAATAAAGAATGGAAAAACCACGCCTAATTCTCTATCTACAGTTGGTTGAGATTTGTTCTAAATTTCTTAAAGTTCGAAATTGTGTTGGATCTACCAATTTAGTAAAATATTAGATTATGTGAGCAGAATTATTATCTCACAATGACAGATGGTAGTAATTCTATAAAACTAAAGTCTTTTCTTTTAGACAGTCAAACTAAATCTTAATACCAATTGATTGAAAATTATGCCTGGTTTTTCTGAGAACTTTGTAAATACTAACATAAGATGACACCAAGCCAACTCACATAATTTTGGTACCAATTTTCTTTAATTAAAATTCTAACTTAATTAAAACCTAAGCTAACAAAGCAAAATGTCATGTGATAAGAAATTTTTAAGAATAAAATTTATTCAATGCCGATTGGATGAAAAATAAGGTTAGGTTCAAATAGAAATTGAATTCATTCCTTCATTCCTCAAACTATATCCTTTTCTGTTCTAGCTGTAAGTTTTGCAAAAGACAATTTTTTTATTGAAAAGAAAGAAAGACCTTATTAGTGGCATTATTTTGGGCAAGGATACTAAATCATTATGCTGTAACACCTGATGAGATACAAGTAAACAGCCTTAAAACATTTATCAAAGAACCAAAGTCATCTTCAGAAACAGCACTGTTACAAATTAAATAAAGTCTCAGCTAAGAATGAAACAAGGTTTATGTCCACTTTAGAGTGGATTTTAAAGGAATGAAAACTAACATCCCATATTAATGAATATCATAACACAAGATCTCAATTTTTACACCGAAAATCTACACCACCACCACCACCACCATCACCATCAACATCATCATTATTCCCAATGACTTAAACATAATTCACAATTCTCTATTGGATAAAACATTGTTTGATTTTATTGTATATACCTTCAGATCGCGAATAAATCTGATAAATTTTGCCAGAGATAACTCAACTGTTTTATATTCAATGATGGTATTGTGAATTGTGATTATAGATTGTCAAATTTAATTATCAGGAAACTTTAAATCTAGGGAACATAAAGACCACATTTTGGTTAATTTAATTCCAGCTATTCCAATTTTTCCAGCTAATTGTCATTGGCTTTAAATGTTGTCTTTTGTAGTAGCCCTCTCTTGATACAAAATATTTTTACAAATTTCTACTAAAAGCAGTTCAATGAAATATGTGCTGATTTGCCTGATTTTGACCACACTTTATCAATTATTAGTGTCATTAGCACTTCTAGTTAGACTGGTTCTTCTCACCTTGCCAGAACACTTGATAGTAAACTGAACATCATAGCCGAGAGTCCTTATTGTAAATATTATTGACTAAATCCAAACCTTCTTCAAAGGATACTAATGATATCATCTAGCTTTAGGTATTTTTTTCATATAATAGAATATATATTATATATGTTTTACTAAAATGATAACTGTTACAAAATATTGCATGCTAAATCAGCCAACTTCATCATATTTTTACCATTATCATCATCATCATTAGTAAATTATTTTTGAGATCTTTTTATTCAACAATGTAATGTGTATGTATTTGAATTATTGTGATAACCTAGACAAGCATTAGTAGAATTGCTGTTAAGTAATGTTATGAAGGCACATGCATGTAGGCTTAACCTATAGTGGCAGAGTACTGTTAGTGCAGTTAAATTGAATAATATAATACGAACATTTTGGAAAGTTTCTGTTCTATAGTGCCACAGAATGATTTTTAAGTGTTTTCTTTTTCTAATCATCTACTTAAAGTATGTGAATAGGTAAAATTGTATGTATTTAATTGTCAATAGATAGTACAATCAATACAAACATAGATATACACAAAAGTTTTTGTATATAGCTGTATAATAAATTTGTAATTGTAGATTTAATTTATAATTGTATGATTTGTAAATATTTTGCCTACCGATATAAAACATTAAAAAATGGGGACATGTAGATATTTGACTCCTTAGTTTAATGCAGTTATTTAACTACTGTCTTAAAGGAATGTAGTCAAAAATAGCTACTAGTTTTGTTATCTATATCACTTACCAAAAGGCTCTCTGGTAGTATGTTTATTTAAGGTATTATTATGACACAATTAGGTGAATGCGGGAAACAACAATGCCTACAGTACCAGCTGGTAGAAAGGATCCTTAATTGTGAACCTAAGTTGTTTTCCTTGTAACATTTACTTATTTCTTCCTTATATTTTCTTTAATTTTCATATCTATATTACTATTTCCTCTAAATGAAAGATAGTTCTTGAAAATTCAATTCTAGATTACCATTTCAGTAGAAATTTTATAAATCATAGACAACCACAGCCAGATTTTTTTCTGTTGGTTACCTCATGATATTTTTTATCTTCAACATCCTTCTTTGAAAAAAAATTAACTTGATGCTGCTTTAACTTGATGCAGTTCTACTAAATGTCTTCAGATTTCAGAGTGGAAAAATAAAAATGAGAATTAAAGACTTATATATTATATAATCAAATTATAAATAATATAATTGTATAAAATGTAAATATAAAACATGGTGTATATTTTTATATCATTAATTTAATTTGAATATTGATTTTTAATGAATGTAGATAATTAACTAGCTTTAGATAGATTTTTATTATTTTCATTTCCAGTGGAAAATACTTCTCAGTAGAAACTTTGTACCTGCTATCAGCTAAAAAAAAAGCTTCAAAAACTACTAGAAAGACATCATCTTCAATATTTGTTGAGGAAATTCTCTTTCAACACATAATACTGCTGTGTTCTTCGCATCACTTTAAGTCGTGATTATCAACATCATTGAACTTGTTTTATAAAGTAAGAAAATCTGCAATACGTAACTGAACTTAACCTTTTAAGAAATTAGTATGAACATATTTTAAATGATGCAGACAAACAGGGTAGGTATCATATTTACTGCATTTTATTAGAAAATTATACTACTCTTTTCATTGTGGGTAAGTAAGTTTCTCATAAAGAAGTAACATTAATTCATCCATTGATATTCA